TATTTGCTAGCCCACCCCTACCCATATATTTGCTAGTCCATCCCTACCCATATATTTGCTAGTCCACTCCTACCCATATATTTGCTAGTCCGCCCCTACCCATATATTTGCTAGTCCGCCCCTTCCCATATATTTGCTAGTCCGCAGCCCATATATTTGCTAGCCCACCCCTACCCATATATTTGCTAGTCCACCCCTACCCATGTAATTGCTAGTCCACCCCTACCCATATATTTGCTAGTCCACCCCATATTTGCTAGTCCGCCCCTACCCATATATTTGCTAGTCCACCCCTACCCATATATTTGGTAGTCCACCCCTACCCATATATTTGCTAGTCCACCCCTACCCACATATTTGCTAGTCCACCCCTACCCATATATTTGCTAGTCCACCCCTACCCATATATTTGCTAGTCCACCCCTACCCATATATTTGCTAGTCCACCCCTACCCATATATTTGGTAGTCCAACCTTACCCATATATTTGCTAGTCCACCCCACATTTGCTAGTCCGCCCCTACCCATATATTTGCTAGTCCACCCCTACCCATATATTTGCTAGTCCACCCCTACCCATATATTTGCTAGTCCACCCCACATTTGCTAGTCCGCCCCTACCCATATATTTGCTAGTCCGCAGCCCATATATTTGCTAGTCCACCCCTACCCATATATTTGCTAGTCCACCCCTACCCATATATTTGCTAGTTCACCCCACATTTGCTAGTCCGCCCCTACCCATATATTTGCTAGTCCACCCCTACCCATATATTTGTTAGTCCACCCCTACCCATATATTTGTTAGTCCACCCCTACCCATATATTATCTAGTCCACCCCTACCCATATATTTGCTAGTCCACCCCTACCCATATATTTGCTAGTCCACCCCACATTTGCTAGTCCACCCCTACCCATATATTTGCTAGTCCACCCCTACCCATATATTTGTTAGTCCACCCCTACCCATATATTTGTTAGTCCGCCCCTACCCTTATATTTGCTAGTCCGCCCCTACCCATATATTTGCTAGTCCGCAGCCCATATATTTGCTAGCCCACCCCTACCCATATATTTGCTAGTCCACCCCTACCCATATATTTGCTAGTCCACCCCTACCCATATATTTGCTAGTCCGCCCCTACCCATATATTTGCTAGTCCGCCCCTTCCCATATATTTGCTAGTCCGCAGCCCATATATTTGCTAGCCCACCCCTACCCATATATTTGCTAGTCCACCCCTACCCATATATTTGCTAGTCCACCCCTACCCATATATTTGCTAGTCCACCCCTACCCATATATTTGCTAGTCCACCCCTACCCATATATTTGCTAGTCCACCCCTACCCATATATTTGCTAGTCCACCCCTACCCATATATTTGCTAGTCCACCCCTACCCATATATTTGCTAGTCCACCCCTACCCATATATTTGCTAGTCCACCCCTACCCATATATTTGCTAGTCCACCCCTACCCATATATTTGCTAGTCCACCCCTACCCATATATTTGCTAGTCCACCCCTACCCATATATTTGCTAGTCCACCCCTACCCATGTAATTGCTAGTCCGCTACTATTTCTGCTCAATTCTAATTTATTAAAACAAGAACAACAACAACAACTCAAGTATTAAAACAATGCATAAGAAACCGTTTATAATAACAAGCTTTTATATAATTATGCACTAAAAAGCAGAAAGTAAATGATTTTCATTAAATATATAAAGATTAACTACTATCTAAATACCCAAAAAATAAAAGCTTGTGTAGGCCTACTTTAAAATTTTTAATACAATAGAGTTGCATGACTAAAAACAATTGCTCAACAAATGAACATACGATAAATGTGCATATAATATAATTGAGAGGTAAATAGCACTTCATGTAGGAAATTTCAATTATTTATTTAAAATTAAATAACCCTCAATAAATTCCAATTTGGTGTCAGATTGCATTGTCATCGGGTTTAACCCACGTACGAAGTTTCAGATAAATTTGTTGGTTAGAAGTTGTCAAAATTTTTCTCACCAATTTCGATGCATGACGGACAACAAACAACAGACAAAAGAACGACAGACAGACAGAGGAAGCAAGTTAAGTAAAAACTTGTAAAAATTAATAAAAGAAACACTTCTTCATCCAGATTGCACTGATAGTGCCATCTTCCTCACAGTCATACAGAATATACTAGAAAGTTTAGGGGTGGTAACTCCCGCTTTAGTTTCAGTACAACATCACGCTAGTTATATTTGAGCTTAAATGATGTTTTCTAAAAATATATTAAGTTTTTAGATAGACATATATATTGGTGGTGAAGCTTCCATCGTCTTCTTTTAGCTTCAGAACCTATGGCGTTGCTATGGTAGGGTGAAGGGGGGTACCCGCCCCTAGTGGCAATTTATTTTTATACTTAGAGCAGCATTACATAGCCAGTGTGCTCTATTTTAATCGAATTTAAAAGATCTATAATAATTCATTCAATCGTTTTATAAAAAAAATACCGGATTCTAATTGTATAAAGATGTAAATTCCGCACTTAATCTAATGCCGATCACTACATTAAAAAGCTGCTATCACTTATAAAAATCCAGTATCCAGGGCGCCTTCTCAACTCTGAAATAATATACGAACACAATTAGATTAGCAACATAGCACATTATGTATTTTTTTAGACACGAAACTGATGAAGATTTTAGCCCACGAGAAATAGAAATCATAGTGCTATCACTTTGTCATTGTTTGACATCAAGCGAGGTCTATAATTGTTGAATCACCCTCTCCGCGGGAGCGACTCAGGGTTTTAAAAATCTCGCCCTTGTAATATTAGCATATGATTATTTTAACAGAGGGCGGATGCGTGCTATTACGCATGCGTGATTCGAACAATTATCGCGTGCTTGGAAATCAGATTTTGTCTATGTGTTCGGAAGTTTTTGTGACGAAAAGGCAATAACATACGCTATACAGAGATCGTTTGTATGCATATGTTAGTATGTTGTATGGCTGTGACACTAGTTACAGCATTTAAAATTACCATTTGGTGTGGTGATATGGCGATATAGAGTGATGTCTCTGAAATAAGTAAAATTTCTTTTAGGGTTTTGTCCGGCACACACATCACATCACCAACACCACAGACACATCACATCACTAACACCACAGACACACACATCACACATCATCAACACCACACACACATCACATCACTAACACCACACACACATCACATCACCAACACCACAGGCACATCACATTATCAACACCACACACACACACATCACATCACATCACCAACACCACAGACACACATCACACATCATCAACACCACACACATCACATCACATCATTAATACCACACACATCACATCACCAACCCCACAGACACACACATCACCAACACACACATCACATCACATCACCAACCACACAGACACACACATCACATCACTAACACCACAGACACACACATCACACATCATCAACACCACACACACATCACATCACCAACACCACACACACATCACATCACATCACCAACCCCACAGACACACACATCACATCACTAACACCACAGACACACACATCACACATCATCAACACCACACACACATCACATCACATCATAAATACCACACACATCACATCACTAACACCACAGACACACACATCACACATCATCAACACCACACACACATCACATCACCAACACCACACACACATCACATCACATCACCAACCCCACAGACACACACATCACATCACTAACACCACAGACACACACATCACACATCATCAACACCACACACACATCACATCACATCATCAATACCACACACATCACATCTCCAACCCCACAGACACACACATCACATCACTAACACCACACACACATCACATCTCCAACCCCACAGACACACACATCACATCACAAACACCACACACACATCAGATCACCAACACCACACACACACATCACATCACAAACACCACAGACACACACATCACATCACCAACCCCACAGACACACACATCACATCACAAACACCACATACACACACATCACATCACCAACCCCACAGACACACACATCACATCACCAACACCACAACCACACATCAAATCACCAACACCACAACCACACACATCACATCACCAACACCACAACCACACACACACATCACCATCACCAACACCACAGACACACACATCACATCACCAACACCACACACACATCACATCACCAACACCAAGACCGCAGACATACACACATATCACATCATCAACAACACAACCACACACATCACATCACATCACATCACCATCACCAACACCACAACCACACACATCACATCACCAACACCACAACCACACACACACATAACATCACGTCATATATATATATACTAGGCATGCTGCCCAGCTTCGCTTAGGCTTTCGAAAACATTGAGAATTTGAATGCTTAATTAATTCGCCCGAAGGTCGGTCTACGACCTCAAGAGTTATGTAGAGGTTCCTCCGTGGACATTTTTTTTCGATTTATAGCTCATATAAGGTACCGGTCAGTCGAGGTCAGTTTTGACCCCCACATCGTAGACTTTTCGGCCAACCGGCCCCCGTGTTCTGTCGCACCAAGGCAAGATCATGCCAAATTTGAAGCGCCTGCGGCGCCGGGAAGTGCCCTATCGGACACCCGACAATCTAGATCTAGATCTAGATTCCTAAAAGAATTTTTTTTTAAAGTTTAGCCCGAGCATAATAAACAAGTTAATAAAAAGTCTAGTGACAATTTAAGCGCAATTTCCTTATGTTATCCATAACAATTTTAAATTGAGATAAATCATATATTCAGCAAATAAATAATGCAACACAAGTAGTTTTAATAATTCAAAACAAAATAGAAAAAATATTTATTAACGAGATTGAAAAAAAATAATTCTTTATAGTTATTTAAATAGTAGTCTATAATTTATTTTCTACTTTTTAGTGCATTATTATATAAAAGCTTGTTCATCAAAAACGAGTTTCAGTGGCTTTTCCACACGAAGTTTGTCCATCATATCTTGACATTTCTTTGTTCCTGGTGTCGAAGGCTTGATTGTGAAAGTGCCGAGGATGAAGAGACCTTGAAGAGATGTGGCTCGCGACAGTCCGACATATTGAAGTTGACGGGTCAAGTCTTTCATGCTCACAACAACTGATTCCATCGATGCTCCTTGAGACTTGTGAATCGTTATCGCTTCCGCCAACACAACTGGAAATTGTTCGCGTGTCACTGTGAGGCCTTTAAGGACATTGAAGGTTCCTTTCAGCAAATTGATTGGCGTCCAAGTAGAAGGAATGGGACGGGTGACTGAAGGATTATCGGTTGGAAGGTGAACTCTTCCACGCTTTGATCTTGCAGTCGCACCGACTTCCGGGTTGGCAAATTCGAACCAAATGGTTTTCAGGTGATGGTCTTTGATTTCGAGGTGGCGAAGAACACCCGTTGCACCATTGAACAAGCCATCTTGCGTATCAATATTAGATGTCACCATATACTTAACACCCACCGTGAAGTAATTTGTTGTCGGTAGAGCTGCCATATCTTTTACAGGCTTCGGCTTCTTGACTCGTTTGCCTTTGTCCTTTCCAGTAATGTGAAACTCGGCTTTTGCCTTAATTGCTGCCGTTTCTTTGGGATCCTTGCCCGTCGGATACTTGTCGATAGCAGGAAAATCTAGTTGAAGTGGTGCACTACCAGAAGGTTTAGGTGGAAGCTTGCTCAGTTTTTCTCGAGCCATAATATTGCGTTTCTTGTTGAAGTCATCAACATCCTCGTTCCGAAAGAAGATATGAATCGCATTTTGTCCTCGTTCTGGAAGAGTGCTTGAGGTGAACTCTCTCGATTTGAACATTGCGGCTTCTTCCTCTGTTAGCGATCCATTAGCGATTCCACCTAACGCCTTTGCGAACTTCCAATCATCTTTCTGTCTCATGATTTCCGTCAGCTCATACAGCTCGAAGAGAGGCCAAAGAGTGTTGCCGGCAAGTGAAGCTAGGTCCTTTTTAGGTTCTTCAAACACATATTGTGCAAGGACTGGCGGGATTTGATTAAAGTCGCCGACCACGATGACTGGAATGCCACCAAAAGGAAGATCTTTATTGAACAGCTGACGAAGCCGCGAGTTGACTTGATTGAAATTGGCCAAGCTCAGCATCGAAATTTCGTCGATAATGAGCAGCTTCAGGTTTAGAAACTTTGAATACAGCGTGTTTAGAGCATCACTGGAAAGTTCCTTGGCCTTCGAAGCACCTGCTGTCACTGATAGGCTGAGCGCTGATGTTACTGTCATGCCGCCGATATTGTGTGCTGCCTTTCCGGTAAACGCCGTAAGAAGTACTTCGATAGATTCAGCTGAACCAGCTTCACCGCGATAGTGGCGAGTCACCGTCTGATAGATGGCTTCAATCAGCTTGCTTTTGCCTACACCTGCGCCGCCGCTGATAAAGTGATAGAAGGGAAGTTTGCCATTTTTGAGACAACTTAACAAATGCTGGTGATAGTTATGTTGACGAGCGTTGAGCGAATCGATAAGCTTGTTGTAATCATCGTTGGAGAGCATTCCTGGCACTTTGTAGCGTTTGACTTCCTCGCCTACTGCGACGTCTTGTCCAAGCTCGTTTAGCAGATCAGGAACAATAACTGTGTCATCATAGTCGTAATAATTTACATCAGGCTTGATCGGTTGGCCATTTTCATCGAGAATAGTTTCTTCGGCATTCGCATTTTCTTCTTGATCGCGCTCCGCTTGAATGTCGATGTAAATCTGGTTCAAGTCTTCACCGATCTTGTTGTAATTTTTGTAGTTGGCATCGATGACAATTTTTTTCTCGAGGAAGATTGCCTCACAGTTTCCCTCCTCGATTTCTTTGACTTCATCACGCCATGGCGAATAGAGCATGACCATTTCTCGGAAGTAATTGGCGGGATCCTTGTCTCGAGAAAATCTGCAATAACGAATGACCTTCGGCCTCTTTCTCTCTTTGATAGATCCACTATTGTCTTTGAGCTGAAACACTTTGAGCTTTTTTGCCGCACCCTCATCTTCATCGTTGATCATCTCTTCAACTTCAACATCATCGGCAAGCTCATCATCCTCAGCATCCTTCTTGTTGCCTTTGCCTTGATGCGTGTACTCGGCGATGAAATCTGCGAGGCATTTGTCTTCGAGCTCATCAGGACGAAGTGAATAGCGATCTACTGGGCCTTTGAGATAGATGTCTTGACTGTCGGGATCTTTGTCTCGAATTCTTTTCAACTCCGCATCGGGCTTGAGAATTTTGTGTCGATCCTTGCGAGGTCCTGTTGGGATGAAGTCAACTACGACGCTGCTTGATGCCATCTTAAGTTGGAGTCGAATCCAAGCGACTTCTTGAGCCGAGATCTCAGTGCAATTGTACAGAACGTTGGAAATCTTCTTCAGCTTTTCCTTATGCGTGAAGTTGCCTCTTTTGAAGTCAGCCACAAGCTCACGAAGAAGGCGGGAGAGTCCACGTTGTGACTTGTTGATATAGTCGACGACGTATGAGACACACTGGTAAGGATTCGTGACGAACTGGATATCCATATTGGAGCGCATAAGCGAAAGGATCTTCTTGTTGTATCCATTAATGCGACAGTCCTTTGGAAGACGCTTTAGGAAAACCTTTTCTTGAGTGAGGGTGGTACTTATTGCATCTGTATACTCTTTATTGGTACATTCGAGAACAGCGAGCAGATCGTTAAAGTCACCGACTGTATTCTCCTTCGTCTCCAAGTCTAGAACCGCACGAAGTTTAGCCTTAATCTCGCGAAGCTTCTTTTGTTTTTCCTTCGGCATCTCTTTTAGAAGTTCCTTGTGAATCGGGCTCAACATTCTCGTTTGGTCCATCGGAGGTATTGGATAGTTGAATCGGCAAACATTCTGGCCGTCCCTCATGCGATCGCAAGTTGAAGTGCACTTGTGGAATTGAAATCCAATTATGTCTTTGACGTCTGCGGCAACAGTGTCTGTAGTGATCATTTTGTCGATGAACTTTATGCACTCCTCTTTTGAATCATTGCTTTCCGCATCGAAGGCAGGAGCATTTTTAAGCCAGACCAGCATGTGTACGTGTGGAGAGCCCCGGTGTTGAAACTCAATTCTGTAATACAAGTTTTCCATCTTGTAATCTTCGAACGGGCCGCCTTCGGTGTTCCATGTCTTTCGAAGTTCTCTGAAGCGATGATCGAAGTGAAGGGCACATGTCACAGGATCTTTTCGAATGAGCTCAGCCTTCTGGTTGAATGAGAGTGCCATGGCTTCCTCCTCAGTGATGTCCTTTTTGTGCACAGTTCTCATCAACGAGACTATCAGTTCCGGCCAGTGAGTTTCAGCTGCAGATAGCGTGATGAAGAAGGTGAATATACCATTTTGTCGAACTTGTGCGAGAACGCTTTTCTTTTGCGCTTCCCAATATGCTGGTGTACCGGTGACAGTCGATGCGAAGCGATAAATGTTGTCATCAAGCTGCTGCGTTAACAGGAATTCCTTATTGAGTGCTTGGCTTACAGTGACACCTCGATCCTGGCCAGTTCTACGAAATGCGTATGACATTTGTCCCTGTAGTTGAGCGATCTTCGTCTTTTGATAAATGAAGAAGAGAACTTCAGCTCGAGCACATCGACGATCACTGCGACGAATCTGCGACTTTGCTATTTCCGCGTATGAAAGCTTTTTCCCTGCTGGATGTATCGGTTCTCGCATGTAGCCACCCCAAGTTCTCGCGAAAATTAACTCCTCGCAATAAGGATCCATGAGGAGAGGAATTGGAATTTCTCCTTCACCTGGTGCAAATCGTACTCCTTGCGTAAAGTCTAACATAGTCTCTTCTTCAATGTAGTGACGGTTCGACTGAAGCATTGTGGCCATCTCATCGATTTCGGCAAGGCAAGGAAAATGATTGTTTTTAGCCATCTTGTCCTTTAGGGCGAGAATCTCATTGACTTCGTCATGTGTCAGATCAGGAATTTTTTCGCACATACGAGCAAGAACATCAGGATGTGTCTTCTTTGGTGAAGCAGTCGTGGAAGTAGATGAAGCATCATCGATTGAGATTGATTGTTTTGCACATTCTTGAAGCTCGGTGATATCCAGCATCTCAACATCATCATCATTTGGCAGGAGCCTTGTGGTCTCGAGATGAATTGCAGTTGCTATGACAAGCATGCATACGAAGAATGAGTAGATGTAAAGATAAAGCTCGTAGTCGTTGTTTAGTGTGATATCATACTTCTTGTAGAGCGGAGTTGTGCACAAATATTCGGCAGCTTTGTATAACTTGCGTGGTTCAATTCTCTCCTTCCATGTGAAATGTCGATGACTCATGGCACGCATGAATTCCAGCTCGATAACTTCAGCAGCGTTTGGGTGTGCAGGAATTGACTTTAGCATATTTGGGACGTTGACTGGAACATTGACAACACCAGACTTAAGTCCAAGCTGTCTGTCACATCCGAGAGGCCGCAGCTTCATGAACAGGATTCTTGGTGACACGCAACGTTCTTCAAGATCAGTGAGCGACTTGACTATCTCAGGAACATATGGGAAGGCAAGATTAGAATGCTTGATATTGACACGAGGGAATTCCACTTTCTTGATGTAGTTCCAACATGTGTGGCAGAACTTGTATTCGACGTCATTGAGATGGTCATCGAGAATCATATTGTTAATGTAGGTATCTGCCTCTGGAATGACTTTAGCTCTTGCTTCCTGCACAACCTTGTCGTGAGCGTTCATCGCAGCCACTGCTTTCGCCTTGCTAGCATTTGTATTCGCCTTCGAAACATTCGACTTCAAATTGACAGCTTTGGATTTTGCCGCCTGCTCAGCTTCTTTACTTGGATACATCAGCTTGTTGACGAGCTTCTCGAAGAGCTTATCATGTGTCGTCGTTGTAAGTTGATGAGAAAAGAAAAGACAGTCACAGCTTATGCACGTTTTGTCCGATCCATCCTTAATCTTGAGCTTGTAAATGTCTGCAGCGACGTCATACGGCATGAGGTGTTTTAGTTTACGACGTTTAGCGGCAGTGTCGGCTTTTTGTTCAGTTGCGCGATAAGCAGCACGGCGTTGTGAATTTGATTCCAGCTCGGTCTCAAAATAGTCGGGATCTTGACGATAAGTTGCACAACGCTTAGAATTTGATTCCAGCTCGGCCTCATAATAGTCGGGATCTTGACGATAAGTTGCACAACGCTTAGAATTTGATTCCAGCTCGGCCTCATAATAGTCGGGATCTTGACGATAAGTTGCACAACGCTTAGAATTTGATTCCAGCTCGGCCTCATAATAGTCGGGATCTTCACGATAAGTTGCACGACGCTTAGAATTTGATTCCAGCTCGGCCTCATAATAGTCGGGATCTTCACGATAAGTTGCACGACGCTTAGAATTTGATTCCAGCTCGTCCTCATAATAGTCGGGATCTTCACGATAAGTTGCACGACGCTTAGAATTTGATTCCAGCTCGGCCTCATTATAGTCGGGATCTTCACGATAAGTTGCACGACGCTTAGAATTTGATTCCAGCTCGGCCTCATTATAGTCGGGATCTTCACGATAAGTTGCACGACGCTTAGAATTTGATTCCAGCTCGGCCTCATAATAGTCGGGATCTTGACGATAAGTTGCACGACGCTTAGAATTTGATTCCAGCTCGGCCTCAAAATAGTCGGGATCTTCACGATAAGTTGCACGACGCTTAGAATTTGATTCCAGCTCGGCCTCATAATATTCAGTATCAGTTGCTCTTTTGGTAGCCATTCGTCGTGTATTTGCTTGCCTCTCAGCACTTCGATATTCTGGATTGTTTGCCCGCTTCTCAGCCTTTCGTTTAGCTTCTGCTTGCTTCCATGACTCAGCTGCTTTTGTTGTAGGCACAGACTTTCGAGAGGATCGTCGAATATTGCTTGGACCAGCGTCTTGATGAAAAAGCGTATGAAGTGACACAGTAGCTTGAATTGATGCCGGCTGCTCATTGGAAGTTGGTTGAGTTGCTACATCGTCATCCTCAGGATCCACCAAGTGACTTAGATCAGGAAGCGAAACATTTTTGGTTTGATATGACTTGTATACTTTCTTTTTCCGATTGGTGAGTGATGAGGAGCGTTTCTTAGGCATTTTTATAGAGACCAGCAGAAGGGCGGGGGCTGTGTACAAGTTGCCCAAAGGCAATAAGGGAATAAACCTAACTACTAACTACTAACTAAACTAAGTACCTTGAAATCAAGAGCAGGGTTATTAAAACCATTGATTAGTTGAACTTGATTATCAACATGATAATCATTAAGATGGTAGATCTCTACTTCCGGCATGTATATACAACCACACCACACGCGTCATCACGTTCAATAGATGCGTCATCGCGTTCCATGGCTGCGCCATCACGTTCAGTAGGCGCGCAATGGTTTTTAGTCATATAACTCTATTGTTTTTAAACAGTAGGCGCGCAATGGTTTTTAGTCATATAACTATTGTTTTTAAAAAGTAGGCGCGCAATGGTTTTTAGTCATATAACTCTATTGTTTTTAAAAAATGTGAAAAAACGATTAGGCCTAGCGAAACAAAACCTTGTAATTGTAACTCCCTATCACTCTCATATAAATTATAAATAAATTAATAGGGTAAACGTTTGAATTAATAAGTAAATAAGTAATAAATAAATAAACTTATAGCAAGATCTAAAAGATAGCGAAAAATAGATATCTATATATTGCTATATAGTACTGTAGTGTATTCTGTATAATGTAAGTTTAAAAAAAATTTTGTGACCAAACGAAAGGATATTTTTGAAAACTTTCTTCGGGAATATTGCTCTAAATTATGGCAGGAATCGATTGGTAAATGTTTCAAGTCGCTAAGTGGTCTGGTTGCCTAGATATGGGCCAAAAAAACTGCATTTTCTGGAGGTTTTTTGGCTTTTCCGGGAAATCCATGAAAGAAACCCGGAATTTTTATGGCCTATCTTCATCCTCGTAACTTGCCTAACACAATTGCTTTTGGAAAATTTCCTTATGTTATCTAAAAATAGCTCTGTCGTAGCGTAAATCAAGAGCAGGGTTAGTAAAACCATTGGTTGGTTATTAAAACGTTTTTTATTAATTTTTTTTTCAGTATTTTACATGTTTTATTTACAATAGAGTTACATGACTAAAAACCATTGCGCGCCTAGCTACCGAACTTGATGTCGCAGCCATAGAACGTGATGGCGCAGCTATTGAACGTGATGACGCGTGTGGTGTGGTTGGAAAAAAATGCCTACTAATTCGGTCCAAATTTTAATTAATTAAAAAACAATTGTGACCGAACGAAAGGATATTTTTGAAAACTTTCTTCGGCAATATTGTTCTAAATTATGGCAGGAATCGATTGGTACATGTTTCAAGTCGCTAAGTGGTCTGGTTGCCGAGATATGGGCCAAAAACTTATTTTTTTCGAGGTTTTTTGGCGTTTCTGGGAAATCCATGAAAGAAACCCGGAATTTTTATGGCCTATGTTCATTCTCGTAACTTGCTTAACAAAATTGCTTTTGGAACTAGTCATCGATATTGCTTCGTTGAGGAGGAGATACGACTTAAAGCTGCGGACACACATCCATCCATCCATCCATCCATCCATCCATTCATTCATACATCCAGAAATGACGGGTTAATAAACGCAATTCTCCAGAATGGAAATTGCGCTAAAAAGAGTACATTAACCAAGTTGACTTGCTGTGTCTCGAACCCGCACCACCTGCGTGGTTTAATGTACACTAACATCTCCGCTATTTAGGCACCTTATAAAATACGGAGAATGAAACACGTATTTTAAAATCTTCACTTACGCGAATATGCCTATTCTTTCAAATTAATTTTTTATCCCAAATTAGCCAGTTCCAAACAAAGATTTTGTATAAAATAAATAAGTCTTGAAATAGTTTAGTCCTAATATAGAAATTTATTTTTGGAATTGATTTTAGAGAAGTTAGAGTCTAAATCTAGATCTTAGCGTCTGCGTCTAGATCTAGTTATTGCGTAGATTTAGATTTAGATTTAGTCTAGATCTAGAATCTCTAGATCTAGAATCCAAATACATAAAATAAATTTTATGAGTTTAGGCCGGAAAAATTGTATTGTATACATTTCATAGTGTACGTAGATCTAAATCAAATTTGAATGAAATAGTTCATTTCTTTTCATTCTAAACACGGCAGATGACGTCATTAGTTAATGTATAAGCAATAGTGACGTCACAGTTTTATGCGTTCTTTTTCACATATATTAATGCTTTTCCGGTTGCATAAATAATACTGTTTCTCTACATTCGAATACGCCTTTAATTTTTATTTTTCTTCTTTAACTAAAATTGTGGTTATACATTTAAAACATCTAACATATTATTTTCAACAAAAGTCCGTAAAAAGTTCTTCATATATCGCTGCCGATTCTGACGTGATGTCCGGCGAAAATATTTTGCGGCAGCCGATCAAACACTATTTTCTATGAAAGACTCAATGAAATTTTCAATGACAGAGTCAATGATAACTACCGCTCTCCTGTATTTTTCTCTTAAGAAACTCAATGATAAAGCGTTAGTAGTTATAAAGAGAGAGAGAGTTTATCAAAACGGAAATAATTCAACTCGTTTAATTAATAAAGCGTTAAACGTAATTACTAATTCTTAATTTCTCAGCGATTGATACAATTGTTTAGGGACAATTAAACTATTTTTTTTAAATATAGATCCTCGATCTTCATTTATAATTTATTAATTAAAATAAGATTTTTAAAAAATAATTAAAACAGGTCTTTGTACTATATTATTAAAAAAACACAACTAATGAATGTAATAAATAATTTTGACTATTTCTCATTCTAAACCTATCGAATATCTTTTTTTTTTTAAATGCAAGGTAATCTTTTATAGAACCTACATGATTAACTTTTCTTCTAACAATAAAAAAAAATCTAAATAAAAACTATTATTCCTACAAATATTAGAGTAGTCTCCCTTGACAGTTTCTATTCGAATGTATTTTGTGTTAATTTTTCGGTATGAAATACAGTTGACTTTTTAAATAAATTATATAAGAAAATAATCTATCTCTGTGTATATTTATTTTTAAAAAATATTATTACAATAATTAGAATAGGTGTTACTGGTTAAATAGCAATTATTCTCATTCTAAATCTTTGGCTATCGAGTTTCATGGGTTTTTAAATTTAAGATTGTGAACACATTAGCTTGACGAAAATGATTATATACACTTAAATACATACTAAAATTTACTTTTGTTAATAAACCTACACTATTTTATGCACACATACAAAAAAGAATATTTTAGCGGCAGTTACAACGTCAAAAAAAAAAAAAGGAAACTCCTTTATACTGAATAGTTCTACGTAACAACAAAAATGTAAAAATACATAGTCCTAGAGCACACTAACACATACATATATACATACGAAGATATGTGTGTGTGTAAGTAGGATGTGAGGTGTGTAGACAGGCGGGGTGGAAGGAAAGCAGTTTGGCAGGAATAACGGTAGGTAGGAAAGTAGGTAGGCAGACAGCAGCGCAGGCAGGTTAGTAGATAGGTAGGTACGTAGGCAGGGAGTTAGGTATGTAGGTAGGTGGGCGTAGGTAGGAAGGCGCCTCACTCGGTATAGTGAGCGATTATAGTAGCCCATCATATTCATAGCGTTTTGCAATTATTAAAACGAACAAAGGTACCATAGTACTCACGGGAAAACCCGGGGAGCTAAATGGAACCCTGCCAGGGCGCCCCTAATTCGGTTTAATTATAAAATGTCGTGTGCCACCGTGTCCCTATTGTAGGGTGCTCTTTAAGGAGGCACTCTCTGTAGAGCCCGGGGCGCTCGCTGTCGCCAACTGCCGGGGCGCTCGCTGTCGCCAACTGCCAGGGCGCCGGCGGGCGCTCATTATGCTACTTAGTGAACATTTATAGTAGCCCATCTAAACCGTAGGGTCGCCCGAGATGGGTCTTGGCCGCTCTGGGCCACTCAACCGCCGGGGAGCTGGCGGATGAACCTGGTGTAGTTTTATCACTGAATCTCAGAGGCGTAGCACCATTCCTGGCGCCTGGGGACAAATTTTCAATTTGGCGCCCTCCCCCCTCCCGCCGGAGACAAACTTTCAATTTGGCGCCCCCCCCGTATTTTTTAAATATTTATAATGCAAAACTATAGCTAAAATGAGCTTTAAAATTTTTCCAACCATTTTGGCGCCCCTAGGGTTGGCTCCCGGGGACATATGTACCCCCCGCCCCCCTCGCTGCGCCTCTGCTGAATCTAGTATTACCTATGACCGCAATTGATGAGATAGCCCCTCTGGATTCCCCTCTGGATTCTGAGCTCATAATCGTATAATTAGAAAAATCGAACCCTCCCAGGGTGCCACACTTAAGAATTTTTTTCTTTCTCGAAACCCTTTTCACCAACTACCCAAAATTTTATGACTCTCGTACGAACAGTGTCAAATTGCATCTGGCTTTTATTTTTATGGAGAAAAATTGCATTGCTTCCTGTCAGAGACCCCAGATCGAATGGGGCGCCAAAAGGGGTAGACAATTTTTAAAAAAATCCTCATTCTTCAGTAAAATTTAAGAAAACAGATTTATACATGGCTGATATCCTCAATTATTTTATATAGGGGAGTGTATGTAGGGATGGGCGCCTTTTTGCCAGCGTTTGAATAGGGTTGGCACATAATTGATAGTTCGCCCCGGGCGCCGGAATAGGTTGCTACGCTTCTGCTTCCTGCTAGGGTGCCGCCCTGGCGAAATCTTTCCGGGGGGGGGGGGCGTGCGGACACTGTTGAAAGTATTTTTTTCTATATAAATTCCGTTTCGTTCGGGGGTGGGGGGTCGATAGACTTTCTTCGGAGGGGTGGGGGGGCTCTGCTTCCCCCCCCCCCCCCCCCCCCCTCCGAATAGATTCCTGGAAAAACCTCTGTTCACATAGTTTTATGGCGGTCCGATGAAAAAGATGTAGTAATTCATATAGGACAAACAGATAAACATACTTTCATTTCTATAAATATAAATAGATATATAGGGCCTACTTTAACTAGTGTCCGCATACCCAGACCCGGAAACTTAGTCACAATTTTCTTTGTTACATTTGAACCCTTTAGGTTAATCAATATTAACAAAATTGAACAAGATGCAACAAATACAGTTAACCAAGAAATTGAACAAATAAAATTCACGTTATCTTTTTTATTGTTTTTAGATATAGAGTAGTAACAGACTACCTACAGGTCCTAACTCGCGACGAGGTACACATTTGTATTAAAACACATCTAAGACATTTTCCATTTAGGTGGGTTTTGCAGTACAGTGGTTTCTTAAGTCGTGGACAAGTGATTGCGCTTATCTCTGTTGAGTAGCTATGTATTCTGTCCTATATTAGACACATTTGTAAATATCTGTCACAATATGGGCATAGAGATGATATAACGATAGCTTATCTTTGCGGACGACGCTAAACTTTGGCATCGACACCACGGCCTACAAGTTCAAATTCGGTCCTTCAGAAATGTTTGAAGTCTCTAGATTAAAACTACTTTTCTCTTTTATGTGCCTACTGACCACATCACATGCATTTGTTCTGAAAGTCTAAAAACAGAGGCACAAATATATCGTCTAGACTTGTGAGGTCTACAGATTAGGTATTTTGGCAGTTATCTGAGCCCTTGCCTGTTCTGACTCAAAGCCTTATTCTTTCTCTATCGACGCCTTGCGTAACATGGGATTGGGTTTTTAAGGCGGCATAAAGCTTTATGTTGTTCCTTTTTGAGTACACTAGATTAAAAACTAACGTTTTCAGATGCCTAAAGATGTTTAACCACTAATTAATCAGAATAATGGGTCAAGATTTCAATTCTTGGTTTTGGGACACGTTAGTTGCCGGGGTTGAGCTAATGTCGATAGCATAAGGACTGTACCTTGATGCGGGCGTTTTATTTGTTGCCCATCGTAATAATTGAATGGTTGATGGTGCTTCTTCAAGGGTTTGATTTGCCGTAATGTTAATGATATCATGCATGTGCGGCTTTTCTAAGAAGAAAATGCGTTTAAACACTTTTTAGTTATGCTTTTTTTTAAATAGGCCTATATTTTACGACATCATAATCGTAATGAACAATAAAATGAATTTAAACAACTTTAGAATACACCTGTTTCGGCTAACATGAATGTTATTCTTCAAACTAGTAATGTTAAACGTGTCTTTTTCGCATTTTCGACTTATAAGCAATACAGTAAATTCCGATAACGTCCATATGCATACAAGCAATGGCGTAGGCGAGGAGGGGTTTAATAGTGATTTAATAATGATACTTTCTTAACCCTCTACTGGACATCATGTTTGGTACCTTGCCCCCGGCAACTGGGTGGATTTGGATTACACCCAAGTTTTACTTCATAGTAAATGGCTTCAGTTTTAATTATTGAGTTGGTAGCAACATTGACACAGTTGAAGGTATTCAGAACAAGGTGGCCAGGAGAAATCACATTAATTAGTATATAATTTACCATTACTAACAATAGGCCCTACTTAATTGTTTAATGTTGCTGGATATTAAGCCTGGCAGGTATTTATGTTTATTAATTTGTACAGAAACAAAAAAAAGGATTCCCAAACAAAGTTTTATTTTTCAGAAATAAAGAAAATGATACAAATCAATAAAGAACAGTTTTCAAAAGAATTTGTATATAATTAATTATTATAAAATAAGAATATAGCATTGCATAGATAAAAATAAAATACTTGACACAAACAATATGAGGAATATTTTTTATCAGAGAAGAGAAAAATATATGATGTAGTTTGAAAATAATAATGTACAGAATGTAGCTTTTGCAGATTAAAATGGAAATTCTCATGCCTATATAATTTATTGAGTAAATGAAGCAAGGCCCAAAACAATAGGCTAAATAATATGCATGGGACAGGCATTGAAAACTACAAATTGCATATAGTGAAGGTTACCCTATTTATTGGCTATATCCACAGTAAAGATATAAGGCTTTATTACCTGCTTGTAAAATTGTTAAGGAAAAAGTAAAGTATTGTTAAGTTTTTATGGCAGACCAACTACAGCTGTGTTCTGGGAACATGTCATCTGTAAGGGGCATTGTTCTCGGCACATGTTTTCATTTTTTGTGTTCTCGGCACATGTTGCCATTTTGTGTGTTCTGGGAACATGTTGCCATTTTGTGTGTTCTGGGCACATAATGACATTTTGTGTGTTCTGGGAACATGTTGCCATTTTGTGAGTTCATGGAACATGTTGACATTATTTGGCTGTGTTCTGGGAACATGTTGCCATTTTGTGTGTTCTGGGAACATGTTGACATTATTTGGCTGTGTTCTGGGAACATGTTGACATTATGTGGCTGTGTTCTGGGAACATGTTGACATTATGTGGCTGTGTTCTGGGAACATGTTGACATTATGTGGCTGTGTTCTGGGAACATGTTGACATTATGTGGCTGTGTTCTGGGAACATGTTTGTTTCATTTTTAAATATTATAATAAAACATTTTTAGAAATTCTATATTAGGAATTGTGTATATATATAAATTTATATATTTAATAAGACAATTGGATGAATTATAATAAACAGCAAAAATGATTCAAATAAGTTTAGAAGTATTTGGCTTGCTGTCCTAACAGTGAACTGTATTGCGAGCTTGTTTCCCTAGTGATAACCCATGTTTTTTGTGCAACCCTTCCAATCAAGTATCCAGCTTTTTCTTGGCCTGTATCAAAATGCTGGTCAGACTTGCTTGACTTGTGTATCACAATATGATTTTGAATGTTTTTCTGTAAATGAAATAAAGGAAAAATATTTTGATACTTTCTTTTGTGGAACTTGCAAGAAAAATAAATTACAAATTTATATTACTATCTCTAATATTTCTTTACTATAACTAATTACTTTGAAAAGATAAAGCACTGAACATGATGAATAACAAGAAACAAACATTATCAGCAAAGATTATAGATTTAAAATTGTGTTCATTCATATTGAAGATTAATGAAGTAGACTATCAATATTTACCCTCTTGATGGCTGATACTTTGATTTGATGCCTTTACTTTAAGCTTACACATCAGTCTCTGTGTGGTAAAATATGAAATAATATGCTTCAATAAAACTGTTTCAGTATATTAATTATTTTAGATAAGTACATAGTTTTGAGCTCTATAACAATATGTGTTTCAATTATCATTCAAATATAATACCCTCTATGTTGTACACTCACTGATTTATTAGAATTTTAAAAAAGACAATAATTAATAAAATATTTTGGATTAAAATCCATTATATTTATTATAACATGCAATGCTATCTCTTGTTATAATAATTACTTTAAAAAATGGGTTATGCCTATAGTACAGTTACCTGAGGATGAAACTAGGCACAGTGTATAGTCCACAGAGACTGATTAATATCCCTTGTAATTGAACATCAGTTGTAGTTATGAAATCTGGATGGCCAAACACACACTCATAGTCCTGAAAAGCAATTTACAAATAGATTAGAAAGAATATCTCACAAATTATTAAATTAAAGCTAACCCCTATTTAGTGCAAACCATCAAAGTAGTAGCATTTTTCGTTAAGTTGTAGACACAATACAAAGTAATGTTTGGTCTGTGATTTACATACTTTTTTAAAATAGCAATCAAATTATATATATATATATATATATATATATATATATATATATATATATATATATATATATATATATATATATATACATATATATATATATATATATATATATATATATATATATATATATATATATATTCATTGTAAATTTTAGCTATGTCTTGCTATTAAATTTATTTACTCGACTGATCTAAACTCACTTTATTTAAACATAATATAGTGGATAAGTATAGTGATTTTATTATTCAGCAATAAATAGCAGCCCTAAAAAAAATTAAATAGTAACGTTTGCGAATGAACACATTAAATTCTATGTATTTCCATTTCTATGTCTTTCCCAACTTGATGCATATTACTAACCAAGCATTAAACTATAGTCCTAAACCTGACTCTAATTACCATTTATTGGACAACCTGAACCTTTGCGATACCACGTTATAATATATTATTTTAAAAAAGAGCTTACCACTAATTAGTAAAATCAATTTTTTTAGTATTAACTGAGCCGCATACTATCTGCTGCTATTGTCATCACCAGAAATCCAGTATGTTGGCAAAGATTAGTCTCTAAGTTCCCTGCAACCTCTTTCCTCTCGAGTGCGGAAAACACTGAAATCATTAATCATTATTTCATTATGCCTAATAGTTTAAAGGTACTATTAAAGAAGTACTAAATAGTACGAGTCTAAGTTACTATAGGTCTAATGATAATTATTATTGTGTATGCTTACATGCTTTAAGTTTTATGCACAATATTGGTATATAATATACAGTGGCGGAACTAGAAAAAAAGGGCCACCCCGCCAAAAATTTTTTAGGCCCCCCCCATATATATATATATATATATATATATATATATATATATATATATATATATATATATATATATATATATATATTTATCAAACACGACATACAAACATAGGATATTCATTTCTGGCCTGTTCGGGTTTTGAAAAAAAATGTGTTTTTTTTCACTTAAAACAAATTACATCATGCCATGTGTGTAAGTGCATTAGTGAGTTTTGTAAAAATCAGTTTTATTTTATCTCTGCTATAATACCTCTTAACCTCTAGTCGTTCAAAAGAATATAAAACTTGACAGCTTTGTATGTAAGTTATGGTGTCTCGTGTTATGTTTATTTTCATGTTTTTTTCGAATTTATATTATTAATTTTAAATACATTTCCTTTTTATACATTGTCATTCATAAGTAAGTACTTTACAAAAAAGTAATAATTAAGAGAAGTAATTGCTTTTTAATTTGTTTAGTACAAATCTATTAAAAGGAGCTTATGAGCACCCTTATTTGACTATTTAAAAAAGGGAAATAAGTCATGGAAGTGGTTTGAACGTCTGCTTAGCTTTGATAAGTTTGATTGTAGGAGAAAGAGGACGTGGCTTTCACAGTGGTTTAAAAACAAAGGGAAAAATATACAAGAGCGTGGGATGGTGTCTATAGAAACTAAGCTACGGTAATCTTTTTAAAAAAACAACCATCAAGTCAAAAAAGCAAGGAAATAATTTTTTTTTAAATATAAAATAATTCTTTTGGTCGGCTGGAGCCCCTAAATGGCGTGGGCCCGCCCGCATTGCGGGGTCTGGCGGCACTGTAGTTCCGCCCCTGATAATATATAGTCTATAGTATATAGCCTAAGCTATAGAGTATATAGGCCTATGAGCCTAAATATAACAGCAGCTTGAATAATGCTCATTAGCATGCATTCACTATAAACTATAAAAATAATCAAATATTTCAATTTAATTAAATTATAACTAATAGGCCTAATGGTAAATAGGCTTTTTTCTTGTGGCAACAAATTTAAAGTATAGGGCAGTACAGTTATAGTATAGGCCTACTAGATCTAGATTCTATATTTAAGTATGTGGGCTTTTCATTCCAATGCACCACAATAGATACCACACATGATCAAGCTGGACCTCTGATCTAAAGATTTAATATTTGGGCCTAACAAACAGTGAAACTACAATAAAAATCATGTAAATTACTAATTTAACCTTCTTACCTCCGCTTCTCTAGATTCCTATTCTATTTCCTTCAAACTTTCTTTTTATGCAGCCGTATGATTAGATTCTAGACTATATTCTAATAAACATGAAATAACTACTAACCAAAACACTAGATCTAAATTTCTATATTCTATGCAATATGTATTAAACCTATAGGCCTAATATTTATTTTAAATTCCTATGCGATGTGTCGTGAACTGTAGGTTTCAAGTTATTTTTTTAATGGCGGAAATCAGTTTAAAATTGCGTTTCCTTCCTTTTGTTATTCTATTTATAGATTCAAACTGCTTAGAGACGGAGCAATTATCATTGAGTTAGTCGGCTGATCCACACAGGAAGTGCGGGTATATCTATTAGTTACTCAGTGATCTGATCATTGACAAAAACAGAGATAGCCATTCGCATGGGGTGTTTGCGGACAGACAGAGAGAGAGAGAGAGAGAGAGAGAGAGAGAGAGAGAGAGAGATGTGCGAACGTGGGGATTTATATATTAGGATAGTTGACTAAAATGGTAAACTTTATACTGAATTAATCCGACAAGATTGTTATTTCTTTTAATGAACATACACCCATCTAATGCATACATGCAGTAGTACATTGAGTTCACTTCTGATGTCTTAGTGCTTTTCTTAAAAGATAGGTACTCTTGGAATATTGGGCCAGGTGAAGTAGAGTTTATCTTTTTAATTAACGGCGGCGTGTTGAAGGTGGTATGGTCAGTTTTATGTTAAACCAGGTGAAGTAGAGTTTATCTTTTTAATTAACGCCGGCGTATTGAAGGTGGTATGGTCTGTTTTATGTTAAACCAGATGAAGCAGAGTTTATCTGTTTATGTAACGGCGGCGTGTACGGCAGTTATGTGGTCAGTGTTATGTTAAGCCAGATGAAATAGAGTTTATCTGTTTATGTAACCGCACATTAATTGATTACAAATCACATGGTAAAACGGAGGTGTAATAAAATAAACCGAAATATAAATAAAAACAGCAACATGTACAACCCTAAGGTTGTGAGTTAAAAAATGCACGTGTTTGCATGTGCAGGAACACGCGCGGTGGGTGGGCAAGGAGGCATGAATGGAGGCTGGATTACGGATAAAGTGGATTTGGAGAATTTGATGATGAAGACATGGGGGCGTCAAGTGGAATCGAGAGGCGGGGGGGGGGGGGGGCGGGTGGGTTAGGAACGGGGGTGGGGGATATAGATCTCTGCAGAGAGCGGATGAATTCACCGATTATGGGGGGAGGTAAGTAATAATGACGTAGTTGATGGGGAAGGCATAGGCAGACAGTATGATGGAGGGAAGAATGGCCTGTTGTAAACTGGGGGGGGGGGGGGGGGGTGGCTTAGTGGGAAGGCTACGTCATATAGTTGAGAAATTGATAAGTACGTAAATGTTGTCCTTGTCTGTTGCCAATCGGTCGTTATGTGCCACTACAGTACAGTATACGTTGGCCTGTTGTATGTGTGTGTATGTGCCACTACAGTACAGTATGTTAAGGCCTGCTGTATGTGTGTGTATGTGCCACTACAGTACAGTATACGTTGCAGTAGCGTAGCGAGGGGGGCGGGGGGGACATATGTCCCCGGGCGCCGACCTTAGGGGGCGCCAAAATGGGTTGGAAAAATAAATTGAAAGGTTGAGGAGGGTGTAAATGGAAATCTCGAGGGGGGGGGGGGTGCAAATCGAAAGTTTGAGGGGGGGGGGGGTGCAAATCGAAATCTCGAGGGGGGGGGGGGGGGGTGCAAATCGAAAAGTTTGTCCCCGGGCGCCGGAAGGGTCGCTACGCCTCTGATACGTTGGCCTGCTGTATGTGTGTGTATGTGCTCCTACAGTACAGTATGTTAAGGCCTGGTGTATGTGTGTGTGACACTACAGTCAGAGTTTCTTCCAGGCATCTCTTCGCCTCCCCCTCCCCCAGAACGAAATGGAATTTATATATAAAACATATACTTTAACCAGTATCCGCCCCCCCCCCCCCAGAAAATGTTGTCCGCCCCCACCCCCGAAAATATCAAGTACCCTCCCCCCCCCGGAGAAAAACTACAGTACATTATGTGGAGGCCTGCTGTATGTGTGTGTGTGTGTGTGTGTGTGACACTACAGTGCATTATGTTGAGGCCTGGTATATGTGTGTGCATGTGACACTACAGTACATTATGTTGAGGCCTGGTATATGTGTGTGCATGTGACACTACAGTACATTATGTTGAGGCCTGATACATGCGTGACACATACAATACACCTGGAAATAATGAGAAATAACTTTAGTGACGTACGTAAAAGTCCCGTTACACTAACATGACGTACCTGTGACATCCATATGACACATACAAGCAGACATTACCTCTTTTTTGAGATATCCACGTCACATCCGTATGGCATTTGTAAGCATGTATGGCCTCACTGATGCGGCATAAACGTGAGATCCATATGACATGTGTAATCATGCATGACCTCAATAACCTTGAGGTAACACCCATATGACTTGTATGATTATGTGTGCCCTCGGTAAAGTGCCACCCACATTTCAGCCACATAGGTAATCATTCATGCATGACCTAAATAACCTCGAGGTAACACCCATGTGACATATATAATTATGTGTGCCCTCTGTAAAGTGCCACCCACATTTCAGTCACCATTATTTTTCTACTGACATCTACTTTTTTGATGTGTGAAACTTCGATCGACATTTCCATATGGATATCTTTTCTGTTAAAATCCACATTTCATCTTTATGATATTTTTTAACATACACATTTCGACCTGAATGATCTTTCATAACGACTTCTACATACCTTCTGCATTTAGGCGAAGCTAAAGTGCCTAAACCGTAGACAGTTAATAAAGCACTACCTGGACGTTATAATAATTGAATTAAATCGGCTTAAATAATTGTTTAATTTAAAAAAAATAAAATTTAAGGGCATTTTTTTTTATTTCGGTGGGGGGGGGGGGGAGGGGGGGGGGTGAGTTGGCTTTCAACTAAATCTAAAATAAATGTCAGTAGCATGGGGACATTGTGCAATGAAGAAAGTTTTTTTTTATAATTGTTAATATAATTTTTTTTTTGAGTAATATTAAAATCAAGATTTATTTTTCTTTGCTTTCTTTGATGTGGAAGGTTTTAACATTGCTAAAGATCGTGGTTCCAATGAAACTGTTTTTGCTGTAACTTCTTCAATACATGCTCTGATACCCTTCTCCAAATCCTTTTTTACTTTCTCGTATATACGTAGTATAGAGAAAGTATTGTAATCGTGAAAAAAAAAAAAAATCGAGATTTTTACAAATCTCGACGTTTTACACCTCACTGATACGGAAAAACATAATTTTGCAATCTTGTCCGTATGTCTGTGTGTGTGTGTGTCTGTCCGTGTGTGTGTCTGTGTGTAAACACGATAACTTGAGTACCGTTACAGCTAGGTTGATGAAATTTCATATATAAGTATTTTATCAAAATCGTAGATCCGTATCAACTTTTGAGCGATTTCCGATAACCGGAAGTGGTACTTTTCCTACTTTGAATTTTTTCAAAAGCCTATAACTTGAGTACTATTTCAGATAGATAAATGAAATTTCACATGTAAGTAAAAGATCTAATTCCCTACCTTCTGTTAAATTTTGAGTAATTTCCGTTGACTGGAAGTAGTAATTTACGCTACTTCCGATTTCTCAAAAAACTAATGTAAATTTTTAAAGTACTAATAATATTGCGC